TGAACACCTTAGCTCATAACGGGGAGTTCAAGGAACCAATATCATATTTCTTCCAGATTTATGCAAAGTCAGGGTATTTGAAAGGTCATCAAAGGACCTTCACATGCAAAAAGCACAACACAGCATCTTAATTAGAAATTCTAATAAATGGATTTACTATATAGAAACTACATTTTCAAGTCTTTAAAACCAAACTGAGCTGAGAAAACAGGCTCAGTGCAGCATTAGTTTATATGCTCTTCCTCTTCAAGTGTTTCCCCGTCCACTTACGCAAATAACTGCTTGTCAAGAGAAAAGTGAATACCGAAGCAGCTCTCCAGGACATGAAGAAGCAGAGCACCTCGAATTCCCAGTTTGCTTCAAGCTAGGTGCTTTAGTACCATTGTAACCATCAGCTTAGAAACGGGTGTTACATTACTGAAAGGAAACTTACAGTAGTTGCACGTTTCCTGCTTTGGCCTCATTCAGCCTGAACACAGCACTCACACCTCACCAAAGAGCTATTTACATTAAGGAACAGCAGAAAGAAAGATATAAATGCCTGTGGAATTCTCCAACTTCACACTCACAAGATGCTACATCTGTGGATACTGTCATGAGCCCCAGCCGGAAGACTGAAAATGTAGCACATTAAGGAAGCATTTTGACAACATATTGCCTTCACAGAACCAAAAAACCTGTTTGAATACATACTGGTATTTGCAAAGAAAGCACCTAACAAGGTATTTCCTGTTTAAACATGAGATGGAAACAGCCATTGCTAAAGCTTGCTCAGTACAATGCCAGAGAGAAAAAAAATAACAAATTCTCTGAAAGTGACACCATTTTCCCTTCCAGCAACACTCTTCATGAAGCAGATGTGTTGAAGTGCATGGCACTTCTGAGGAAAGCAATCACACTGACATTAAGATGGCAACAAACTGGAATGATCACAGAAAAAAATGCAAAAGCATTAAAAATTAAAGATTCAGGCCTCAAAATCGAAAAAATTATGTCAAGGTTTACTTGCAAGTCAGCATGGACTTCTTCTGCTTTTGAAGACAGCGAAGGTTCTAAATGCACGCACCAGCTTGATCTCAAGTATAATTCCTTCATATTTAACTAGCACATTATCTGTGTTGCCAATCACTGTTAAAAGAATAACCTAAATAATCAAAGATCTTCCCATCCTTACCTCGAATCTCTGTAAGTCAGTCTCACCTTTTCCCTTTCCCAAGTTAGTCTGGAGAAAAAGGATATCATTGCCTGGGACTGCAAATGGCAGAGGAGCTTCTCCAAGGGAGGATAACAGCACAGGGAGGGAACACAGCCCACCATGACCAGCTTGTGCTTGGCTCTTGTGATGGCAACAGTCAGGCGGCGCCAGTCCTTCAGCAGGGCCCCGAGCTGCGAAACACACGCCACTGGCTTTTATTTTTCCTCTTTTATGCAAGCGAAACATTTGTTTCCAACCTAACTACTGAAACTGAATGAAACCAAGTCAATATGATCAACTTACATTCTCGTCATTACTGCTCCTAACAAAAGACACAATTATGATACTTTTGTCTCTTCCTTGGTATTTGTCGACTGTGTTGACTTCCACTCTGTTCTCCTTCATTTTTGCCATCAAATCAGTGATTGTTTTCAGTTGATGCCTGTATGGTGATATAATGCCAATGTCTGAAGGCTTACAGCCAGCCTGAGTGAAGGAGGAGAAAAAAACTGCAGTTGGCTTGGGAAACTCATTCTGTCAGAAGACCCCCAAGGATTTTTTTTTTAACAATGCTGCAAGATATTGTACATACACTAAGTCATCAATGGAACTCTAGGTATAACTGGTATTAACTAAAGAAAATAAAGCCTATCAGCCACTGCAAGGTCCTAAGCTTTGTATTAACTTTGTATTAACCCTTGAAATCCTCATTTTTCTTTCTCGCTAAAACTGTGAGGTGAGCATTCAGAAGTCCTAGTCCGAACTACTCCTGAGGCTGACTGGATGAAATGAGAAATAAAGGCAAATCCTCTCCACTCCCTCCCAAGAAAGTCCTCATTTTTTAAATGAATTAGGCATCCAGCTTTTTATTTTTGCATCTCAAATCAAACCAGGCGAGGGATCGGGAAGGAAATGCAGGCTCGGGCTCCTCACTATACTGACACGCAGCCAACCCTCAATGTATCAGTAAGATTATCCCTGAAAGAATAACCCAATACATGCAGTTATCACTACTAGAGCAATGAAAACCCCATTAATTCTAAACCTGTCCCTACAAACCATGTAACAAAGCAAAAGATACCTTCAGAAATAAGGATGTGATGAAGAGAACTATTTTAGCCTCTGTCACGTTACTTATGCCAGCTTTTTCTGCATGTTCTGGTGCTGGGACCTTTGAAAATACAAACAAGAAGCATTTTGCTGTCTGCAGTGGCAAGCTGCATTCTGATCCCTGATTCACGGACTTGCATGTGGGTTTATATACTCATTTATATGTTCCTTTTCCCCATTCCATGGCATGAAGGATTATTCTTCCCAATTTTTCTAACAGCATTCCCACTTCAAATGAGAGGAGGCATAGTCTGACTTATAGCGACACTCTCAGAATCCCATCACAATTACTTTTACCTTTATTCCTTTTCAACTCACTATTCTGAAAACATCACACCTTAAAAGCCTCCAAACTCCATGTTTTGCTGGGCTGTGCTTATGATCAAATGCTTACATTTATATTTCTCATGACTGCACAGCACACCCACAGAACCCCCAACAAAAATAACTAGGGCCTAGAATTGCTCAGGAGATTTGCCTTAAATCAAGGATGCAATTTTTCAACACACAGCCCCAAGGCATCAGAGAAGTGCAGACTGAAACAGGTTTGGCAGAAAAGAAAAAACAGATTTCCAGTTACTGTCACAAACATGTTGTATTGTTAAACAGAAAACAATATTTTTTCTTTTTTTTTTGAAAAGCATAGTACATGATAATGTCATATTTTTCCTCACCTTTCTCCCTGTTTGTACCCCCTGTTAAAGGGATTCTATCAGAATTGTTATTAAAAAATACAAATCCTGTAGAATGTCCTAGAGGGCACAGAAAATGGAAAGTTCTTTCCAGAAACAGCATAAAAGATCATCAGTTGGTACAATTTTTGGCAAAACACTATTAATAGGAATCAACATAAAACCTGCTCAGTAAGAGGAAAGACTCAAATCTTCATAATCCAGTCGCCAACAACAGTGACAAGTACTGGAGACCACAAACATGTACTAATTTATTAATCTTTTTCCACGAGTATTTAAACTCTTCCTCAATTTTCTTAGAAGTCACTTTGTTCATGAAATTTTTATCAACTCCAGAGTTTTATTTTTCCAGCCAAAAATTGAGTCTCCATGAAAGGACACACCTCAACCAACTTACTTCTCCCTTACACTTCAGCATATGGAATATCTGCAAAATTCCATGTAGGATTATAGCTGTTCTGCCACTGGCACACAGCTTCTACCCCACAGACCCTCAGCCACTGGAAAGAGGCCATTCCCTAGTTGCAAGGGCATCAGTGTGGCCACACACTTTGAGCTACACTGGACAGGAGAACAAAGTTCATAGCACATTCAGTGTTTTCTGAAATAATACCTGAATTAAACTGTTCAGCTGTTCTCAGGTGCAGTTTCCAGCAGTAGCTGTACCACCCCAACTGATCAGCTACACCAACACTTCTGCGTGTTGCACATTTTACATGCAACTAGAAAACCATTTTTTAAAGTTCCCCATTTCACCCTACCTAAGCTGTATAAAGTTTTATCTGTTGAGTGTATTGAGAATTTGCATCGCAATACACTGTTGAAAGAAGAACAATGAACTTTACCTTCTCCGTGTTCAGGAAACACACAGGTGTGTCTGGATCAAGCACTTCCTTCAGCCAGGATTTTGAAGCATCCCCAAGGTCCAGTTTCAATTTTTTTAGGTTGGGCAACTTAACAGTGGCATTTGACACCTTCTCTGAGCCACATTGCAGTTTGCCTTCATACACTAACATGTTACTCAGTGACATGATTTTACTACAGATTTTAAAAAAACAAGAAAAGGCATCAGAACTTGCCATTTCAATCCCACATTAAAAACAGAATGTAATAAAGAAAAGTTTACAGCACCTGTTCATTCTGTATTGCACAGTTAATTGGACAACAGCATTTTGGTTTTGTTCCAGCCTTTTAAATAAGCTTTCACTCATGCCAAGATCTCTGTTAAAACACAAAGACAAAACCCAGAAGTGTGTCAGTCAGAACATTGCAAGAACCATCCTAGAATTCATTACTAGTAACTGTCCAGCAGCATTTAATCTTACCTTGCTTCTGCATTCAGCACAAGTGGAGGCAGCTGCTGATGATCCCCCACCAGCACAAATCTTTTGGAGCAGAACAGAGGGCCCAGGCAGATGAGCTGGCTTATCTGGGAAGCTTCATCAACTATACAGAAATCAAACTGCTTCTGAACGAAAATGGGGTGATTTACCCCCATGCAAGACGTTGCCACTACCAGCTGAAAATTGAGAGACACTTTTAGGAAAAGGTACATCTTATATTCTTTAGCACCTTTTCCAGGTTAAAATAAAAATTACTATTTCCCATTAAACTAAACCAAAATGTAAAATAAATCAGATTATTTATCCTCGAAATAAGACACATATTGGCCTGACATATTCTTGCACCAATTGCAAGTGACAAACAAAAACAGCTTTAGAGCAGACTGCAGCAAATAATCTGTCATGTGTTCCTGCCATGTGTTAGAATGATGCCAGGTTCCACGCACGTACCGTTCATGGGGTGTGCTGAGATAGCTACTGTTAAAATGTAGGTGGTTTGGATTTTTTAATTGCAAAGAAATGATAAAACAGAAGCACAGCTCTTTCCATGGCTGTGCTTCCACTACAATCCAAAATTACCCAAGTATGAAATTTTAAGTCACTTCCCTTATCACTTCAACTGTTCCCCTGCAATGCTTATCAATGAAAAAAGAAATGGCACCTTTTGTGAAGCTGGCATTTACCCAAACCACCATCAAGCTTTATTCTTTCAGCTCATTTAATTTCAAGCTGCCACTAACTCATATTGACCCACTATGGTTTGCACTAATATTCACACAGACAGCACTAATCTTGCAATCAAAAATAAGAGTTTGATCAGGTGAGCTCCACATCATTCCACTCTTCCCCATCTGCAGCTTGTACTAATGGCAGAGCACAAGTGGGAGGGAGAAGGGACAAACAGCAGCAGCATGGGAATAATGCCAGAGGAGGTTGCAGCTGTTAATCACCACTCTCCCACACGAGATCTCAGATACAAGCACTGGAGTCTTTGGGACTTACTAGTTACAATGGTAAGTGACTGTGTGCACATAAACAGTGCTTCTCAACCTTCAGACTGTTAATGTGGGCCATCATTGGCTATAAAGAATTTGAAGCACTGCAGAGATTGAGTATCTTTTTCAGCTCAGATTTTTCACAGCACTGGATACCCTTGGGATGGGTTCCTTTCTGCAGCATTCAAACACAAAATACTAACATAATTACCCTTAATAATATGCAGGGTTAGCAAAAACCACTTTTCTTACCTGACTGTTATAGACCTCTTCCAAATCTGTTACAGATTTAATTGATTTGGACCTGCAAATGTCTTCTTCTGTATATTTCTGAATATCTGGATGAACCTTCTGAGCTCGCCCCAAGCGCAAGAAACCAACTTTGAATTTGGCTAACTTCAGCAGGGCATTGTCTACAGCTGTGTGTGTAAAACTAGTCAGAAGAACACTGAAGCCACAAGCAGAAAGAATTCTCACCTAACGAGTAGCAAAGGGAAAGAAAAGCTTATTAGTTCATCAACAAGAGTCAGCAATCCCACATTTGACAAGGTAAAAACCATAGGGGGTTTTGAAGAGAGCCAGTAACAAGCATGACTTCATTAACATCAGTATTCCTAATCTGTCAGTTAGCCACTGTCGGTACAGGCAATAGTCCTGCTGGTTCCCATAAACTGCAGCTCATTCTGCTGCCGCAGCCAGAGCTGACAACACGTATGCACACTCACAAACTGTGCTGGAAAGAAGGAATTGCACTTTCAAGACTCCCAGTGCCAGAAGAAGGGATGCAGCCCACTCCCACAGCACTGTTCTCCATGGCATTTTAGCCACAACAGGTTGAGTGGAAGGGGCCGATCTGATGCTAGCAGCAGCTGCATGCTCTTCAGTCTCCTCTTTCCACGTGAGCAGATAACAACTGGAAGTGGGATGATAGTGCTATTTCAAGAAAAATTCACCCAGCCCAGAGCCTGAATGCAGTACGCTCCTACAGTCCATTCCTGAGGAAAAGAGGAGCTGCCACCAGCTAGAGGAAATGTCCAGCTGGCTGCACATAGCTTCAGCCCCATGGGTTTACACAATTTACAATGGACAAGTTACTGGCTTCCCAAGGAGTCCCTTTTTTGAGGTGTAACTCAGAGTTTGAGGACTTGCTGATACTTGGAGCCAAAGAATAAACACTAAAGCGTCACAAAAGGGATGCTTACAGGCTCCCCAGGGAAGATGTGACAGTCCCAAGCCTGATAGAGTTCAAGAGGCATTTGGACAACACTCTCAGGCACATGGTGCAATTCTCAGGAATGTTCTGTGCAGGGACAGGAGTTGGACTAGATGATCCTCAAGGGTCCCTTCCAACTCTGATTATTCTGTGAAGTGATTAAATACCACACTTCAATCTCCTCCCTCCTACATAAGCAATAGAAAATCCTACTCCACAAAAAGCAATTTTGGTTCTACCAAATATTGGATCTTAGGTAAAGAAGTAGACATTTCTTTTTTGGAATCATACAGACACCATTACATAAGTCATGACAATTAATTTTGGACAGTATGTTTTATACAGTCTGTTTAATGCTACCTTCTAAATCTCACCAAAAAAATGGAACACCAAGGTACATGTTCTTACTAGAGCACATATTGTAGTCGTTTTTCCTGTTCCAGGCATACCCACTATAAGTGTGTAGTCTTTCGAAAGCAGCACTTGTTTCATTGCCTGTTTCTGAGGCTTGTTTAGACCTTCAAGAAAAAATCAAAAATGGAACTGCTATATCATAATTGTAATAACTGCTAAAGTTAATAAAGCAAGACTATAACTTTCTCCTCTGCTGAAGCCCTTAATAAAGGCAAGAACTGAGCACAGTCTGTAGGTTCTAATGAAGATGTGACACAAGATATATAGTCACGGGTCTGCACTATAGCCCTAGAAAAAAGTCACTGAATACATTTTTATTTTTAGACCTTCTGTGACTTTTTTTTCTAGTATCTTATATTCACACATCCATATACTGTGCATAGGCATTTCTGTTTGGTCATACCCACTTTCATGTTCCAACACATAGCTCACAGCAAAAGGAAATTAGTTGCACATACAGCACCATCCAGCTTAGAACAAACATTGTATCAGAGCTGGTTTTCCCCAGTCTGATGCAAACAAGCTATTTGGGCTAGACAAAGCTCAAGCAAAGTCAGTCTTCAAACTGAGTTTTTATAAAAAATTCTACTTGCTGTAGGAGAATTCAGTTAAATATCTGTTTTCACAGGCAACTCTGACAGAGGACAATGAAATATTTCCACCAAATATGAGGTACCACACCATACCCAAACAAGTTCTGTTGTTAAACAAAGGCCACAAAGCATCACACAGCAGGGAGCAGCCAGCAAGTCAGCAAGGGTGATTACACAAGTAAATGCTTACACTGAAGCCCATGTCCTTCCACTCCCTCAAGGTCTGCTTCCTCTATCCCAAGTTCCTTCCTTTTGTAAAGGCTAGAGAGATAACCATATGGCACATTGTTTGAAACTGCAAGCTGCAGCAACTAGCAAAAGTATCTGGGCAGGTCTTCCTGTGATTACATTAGGCTTTAACGAGTTGGAAGACATGCAAGGCAAGAACTTGGTTTTAACTTTTAAGCTAAGACCTATCACTGGACCCCAAAACACGAGAAAACCCTTCTATTTAGCATGAGAAATGCTTTGGCTACGGAAACACACTACGGAGTAGAGGAGTTTGGGGAAAGTCACTTTGTACCTTTTAAAATATTTGCAACAGTTTCCTTTGCTCCTGGAGGAAGGACTGAGCTCAAGTGCTGAATAAAACGTGGTCTGTTGAAGTCAATTATCAGGTTGCGAAGCCTTTCACTGTGGGTAAAGAAAAAACAAAACAAAGGAGTGACAAGAGTTACCAGTCAAAAAACTTTATCTGAAAATATTGAAAGTGTAAAATTATTTTTCATACCTGACTGGGGAATCTTCCATTAATTTAGAAAGGTTTTCAAAAGGGACTCCAGTACCAAAATCTCCTTCTTCATGATCCAACCGAAATGTGGTGTTCTTGGGGAGCTTTGACAAATCCCTCAAGAATGACAGAAACATGGACAAAATAATTGTTTGCGAGCAGTACGTTGATGATTAAAGCCTTATTACTACATGTTAAATTGGATCTTCCAGAGATCCCAGAGTGAAGCAATAGCAAATAGAAATACATTGTTAACTCATCTAAATAGAACATGAGCCCAATTTAAAGACAATATAGACTGAATAATGAAAGTTATCATTAACACAATAATCACTTTACCACATAGTCTCATGTGTGAGACAAAAGTAAATAGAGTTTAAATATGTTTTTATTCAAATAACCTGGTTAAATAGGCAGGCATATACAGGGACCAAGTATTTACATTTTCAGGGCATTAACAGGGCATCACCCCAAGCCCAGCAAGAAGTGTTTAGAACATGTCAGAGCTTTCTGGACACCTACAAGTGCCCTTACTAAAGCCAGTACTATGGTGTCTTCAAACAGATACTTTTCCTTTTGTTTTATTACCTGCCCAACAAACAGGAGACTTCTGTTCCACTGACTTCTCTAACATAACCAGTAGCCAAACCAAGTAAACCCTTTTCCTCTCCACTCACAACCACTCGATCACCAACCAACAGGTTTGTTCCAGGCACGGCACCATTTCTACGCTGGAACACATGTAGGTACTGTCCCTCAGAAATTTCACATACTTCATCAACCCTGAGCATGTTTCCAATGCATTCTCCAGCCTTCTCTCTGAATATATTAGAAAAAGAAACATATTTTAAGATCCTCTCAGTGAGAGAAACATTAAGAAAAAAACACAAGTTAAAAAAAAGACAACCCACAACCAAAATACAAAAAGAAATCATCTGAGCAACAAAAAAAACCAACCCAAAACCAACCAACCAAACAAAAAAACCCCACACAAAAAACCAACCCAAAAAAACCCAAAACAAACACAAATGCACAACAAGAACTAGGAAGACAGGAAGACTGAACAGTCACTTTACAATAGTCACTTTGACCAGAAAAGGATTATAAAAATATGCAGAATTGTTGTATTTGCTCCAAGAACAGACTCTAATATTTAGACTGAATTTATCTATAATTTCCTTTTTCAAAATGAGTACTAGATCTACTTCACTAAGATGTTCCATATTTGCTTATGGAGTTGTTCATTTCACTTCCAGTATCTTAGCTATACTTCCTTTCTACAGATGCCTTGAAATGGGCTTGCAAACCACCAATTATTTTTTCACAGCTGCTTGACCAGGTGACACATAACATGTTAACTCAGCTTACAGCCCTGAGTCTATTTTCATCCACACTCATGGCCATGCCTAGGATTACACTATAAAGCAGATCATTGTGTCAACTGACCCTTCAGAAACAGCACAATCAGCTGTGCTCACAGGCAGCACCAGCCTCTGCCAGCAGAGACACAAATGACATCAAATTATACCACTTTTGCTTCTGAAGGCTGAGGCTGAAGTACACAGCTTCCTATGTGTGACTTAACAACAACAAACAAACAGAGAATCATAGAATTTTAGGGGTTGGAATGGAGTTTAGAGATCATCTAGTCCCAACCCCTGCCCTGGGCAGGGACACCTCCCACCAGAGCAGGTTGCTCAAGGCTCATCCAGCCTGGCTGTGAACACTGCCAGGGTTGGGGCAGCCACAGCCTCCCTGGGCCCCCTGGGACAGTGTCTCACCACCCACACGAGAAAAAACTTTTTTCCAGCCTAAACTTCCCCTCCTTCAGTTTGAACCCATTACCCCTTGTCCTATCACTGCAGTTCCTAACACAGAGTCCCTCTCTGGCCCCTTGTAGGCCCTTCAGATACTGAAAAGTTGCTCTGAGGTCTCCACACAGTCTTCTCTTCTCCAGGCTGAACAGCCCCAACTCCCTCAGCCTGTCCTCACAGGGGAGATGCTCCAGTCCTCTCAGCAACTTTGTGGCCTCCTCTGGACTTGCTGCAACAGTTCCATGTCCTTCTTATGCTGAGGACACCAGAACTGTGTGCAGTATTCCAGGTGGGCCTCACGAGAGCAGAGGGGAGAATCGCCTCTTTTGACCTGCTGCCCACACTCGTTTGCATGCAGCCCAGGATTCTGGACTGCTAGTGCACACTGCAACTCATGCTGAGCTTCTCATCCACTGTCACTCCCAAGTCTTTTCTCCTCACTGCTGGTTTCAATTACTTCCTGACCCAAGCAGTAGCTGTGCCTGGGATTGCCATGGCCCAGGTGTAGGACCTTGCACTTCATTTTGTTAAACACCATGATGTTTGCATTGTTCCACATCTCAAGCCTGTCAAGGTCCCTCCGGATGGCACATCCCTTCTCTCCACCACGTCAACTGCCTCAAACAGCGTGGTGTGGTCAGAGAAATTGCTGAGGGTGCACTTAATCCCACTGTCCATATTACCAACAGAGATGTTGAACAGTGTCAACCCCAGCACCACCCCCTGAGGGACACGACTCCTCACTGGCCTCCACGTGTGCTGCCCCGCAAGGGACATCATAGTGCAAATACAGAACCAGTAAATCTATTAGGCCCCATTAGGTCACATCTCAGTAAAACTACCTAGGCAAGCAGTATATTTTACTATTTCTACAAGTTTTCCTCACAGTGAGTATACAAGTGGACAATGTCTGACTTTCAATTACTGAAAGAAGCATCATTTGATCCAGGTTAGAAATTACGTCTCACCTTTCCAAAGAAGGTGTCATCCATATATTTTTATATCCCTTTTTATGCTCTCCACTTTGCAGCTCCAAGGTTAACATCAGATACCACAGGCTGAAGTACTCTAGGTGGGAGGGTTTCAGGTGCTGGGTCTCTCTGTCAATAAGAGGTACCATAGCAGGAGGAAAGGACACACTGGCCATCTTCTGCTCTACAGCTCTAGGAATAGAACCAACCACGGGGGAAAGTAAACTTGTATCCTTTTTTCCTGCAAGTGCCTATGTACATAGTGACAATCTGAATATATACTGCAACATATCAGATAATCACCACTGAAATGAAGTTGAATCTGTATCCTTTGTTCATAGGAATGATCTTAAATTAGTAACATTACATCTTCTCTATGATTTTGAATTATCAAGGACAAGTTAGTCAAAGACCAGCTAAAGGCATTTTGAAGTCAGTACTGTATGCATTTGTATAATTCATCTTTTATCCCTTTTATTGTAACATACAAATACTACAGAGATTTAGCTAAGCAATGGGGGTTTAACAGTTAAACTGCCTTGAAGTTTGCTTGTATATTAACTCAAAACTAAATATCAACATTGTACCTAACAAGGTATACAAAATACAACCAAAGAGAAGCAAGTTAGTTCAGAAGTAAATAGCTACCCAGCTAGTAACAATGCTATTGCTGTAACAACTGCGTGTCAGAAGTAGCATTTGGCAAACATATTGCATGCCCACAGAGCCATCTCCCTCAACACACACTTTTACCCCTGCAATTTTAAAAACAATCAGGCATTCTATTTACACAAAACCACCCCACCACTCCAGTTCTAGCATATGTCATGTGATCTCTTCAGTACACAATTTTGTTTTGGTTTTCTGCAGCATAAAGACTAAAAATTTTAACAGTTGTAAAAACAATTCAATAATGTGAAATTTATCAAACACTTGCTCATAACTTCTCTTTGACAGGAGACAGAGTAACACCTCAGCAAGGTAATATCAGTGTGTTACTTGTGCGAAGTGAAAGAGCTGCTGTCCAGCCATAGTTCATGCCCAGAAGACTGCCTCCTTCAGAGAGCTGTGAGAACATAGCTTTGTCAAATCTTAGTTGTTATTAACCTAGATATAACAGATCTGTTATTGCCATCAAGCCTTTTGTTGAGACTTGTCTGGAAGAGGGTGTACCTGAGCAAATATATTGAGTTTCTGAGAGACCAGGACCTGCACTACAGAAGTTGCAGAGGGGTCTATGGAAGATTCTTTGAGGGTGCAAAAGTCCTTGACACATACATAGGAAACTGTCAACCACAAAAAAAATTAAATCACTGTATCAAAAGCTATGATGAGTTAAAAACATTAGTCAGATTTTTTTTACCTGCTGTACAGAAAGCAATTGTTCCTTTGGGAGCAATATTTACAAGCTTGGCTGTCATCAATCACAGGAGGCAAAGCAGCAAGCTGTGAATGCTGCCTTCCCACAGCAGATTTACAGGTACTGTGTGTTAAGTAGAAGGCCACATGATTTCTTAACTTCATTAATTCTGTCAAGAAAAGAACAAACTAAGCTGAGGCTTTTGTTTGCAAAAATTTCTAACTCAAAAGTAACTAGCTATCAACATTTTAGTTAGTTACGAAGGGATTATTCCCATAGCAAAGTCCTTGTGCCACATTAAAAAAAACCACAGTTAAATCCACTGTCAACAATTAAACTCCAAGTCAAATCCACTGACTACTACCTGCTGTTAGTATTCCATGTGGGAACTAGTGATAACCAACAGAGGACTAAAAAAACATCAGGAAAGACTTCAGAGCCCTAGGAGAGATGATAAAGGGCTCTGGAGCACAAGTGATCTTCACATCAATCTGTGTGGTCCAGAGTAAGGGGTATGAGATGGCCAGACGAATCTGGAAGGTCAATAGCTGGTTGCAACAATGGTGCCAGAGTGAAGGCTTTGGGTACTCAGTCCTTGGGAATTTACACAGGCAAGCCTGGTCCGACCAGGACTGATGGGGGGCACTTGATTGGGTCCTATGACTGGAGCACAGAATGAAGGGTTTCAGGCTTCAGGAAAGACAGGCTGAGGAGATGAGGAGTAGCCCTCTATGTCAGTAAGCAACTGGAGAGTGTGGAGCTCAGCCTGGGGACAGATGAGGGAATAATCAAGATTAAGGGGAGGGTTGGGACAGGGGATGTTATAGTGAGGGTCTGCTACAGACCACCTGGTCAGGAGGAGGGTGTGGACAAAGAACTCTTCAGACAGATGCAAACAGCCTCAAGCTTACAAGCATTTGGCCCTCATGGGGGATTTCAATCACCCCGATATCTGCTGGGAGAGCAACATGGCAGTGCATAGGCAATCCCAGAGGTTCCTCAAATGTGTTAATGATAACTTCCTTACACGGATGATCGAGGAACCAACAAGAAGAGGAGCCATGCTGGACCTCGTGCTCACCAATAGGGAGGGGCTGGTGAGGAACGTGGTGTTCCAAGGCAGCCTTGGATCTAGCGACCATGAGGTGGTGGAGTTCGAGATCCTCAGGACGGTGAGGAAGGTGCAACAGCAAACTCACTGCCCTGAACTTCAAGACAGCAGACTTTGGCCTCTCCAAGGACCTTTTTTGCAGAGTCCCTTGGGACAAAGCCCTGGAAGGCAGAGGGGCCAAGACTGCTGGCTGATACTCAAGGATCATCTACTCAGTCGCAATGCATCCTGACACAGAGGAAATCGGGCAAAAATGCCAGATGGCCTCCATGGATGGATAAGGAAGTGCTGAGGAAACCCAGGGAAAAAAAGAGACCTTCAGGAGGTGGTAGGACAAATGGACTGGGAGAAATACAGAGAAGTTGTAAGAGAAGCTAGAGACAGCCAGGGAGGCTAAGGCACTATTGGAATTGAGGGACATTAGGGATAACAAGAAGGGCTTCTACAGGTATGCCACATGTGAAAGGAAGGCTAGGGATAGTGTGGGCCCTCTCCAGAAGGAAACGGGAGAACTGGCTACCCTGGATATAAAAAAGGCTGAGGTTCTTAATCACTTCTTTTCCTCAGTCTTCAACTCCAAGTGCTCTAGCCATTCTGACCAGACCAAGAGGGGCAAAGGTAGAGACTGGGAGGATGAAACCCCTGAGCCCACTGCAGAAGAGGATCAGGTTCGAGACCATCTAAGTCCATGGCTCCTGATGAGATTCATCCTTGGGTCCTGAGAGAACTGGCGGATGCAGTTGCTAAGCCATGACAGGGCATTGGGACTAATAATCTGTAAGGTCCATTCCAACCCCTAAAATTATATGATTCTATGCATCAAGTTTTTAACGGAAGCTTATTGGCAGTAGGAACATTACAACAAAGATACATCCCTAAGTACAGATAGTTTCATGAGAGTAAACCTTATAATTAAAGTTAAACATTTTAGTAGGAGTTAAGATAATTCTGGTTTCCAGTGAAGTGGAACGACCTTACCTCTTCGGTCCATGCGAGCGCCAGAAACAGGGTACATGGTACCAGTTTTAAGGTAAAGAAGAAATCCAGCTTCAGGATCTACTCTCCGCTCTAAATTCAACAACGTATACAGAATAACCTGCAAACATGGTATAGAATCTTATCGCCGTGTATTTGTGGAGGTTTAACTCCAGCCAGACACCAAGCCTCGCACAGCCACTCCCTCACCAGGGAAATCAGGGAGAGAACCAGAAGGGTAAAGCTGGAAAACTCATGGGTTGAGATAAAGACAGTGTAATAGGGGAAGCAATAGCTGTGCACACAAGCAAAGCAAACCAAGGATTTCATTCCTCACTTCCCACGGCAGGCAGGAGAGCAGGGCCCCATCATACATAACCGTTACTTGGGAAGACAAATGCCATCACTCCAAACATGTCTCCCTAACCTTGCTCCTACTTTACATACTGAGCATGATGCCATATAGTGTGGCATATCAATTCGGTCTGTTTGGGTCATGTGCCCGGGCTGTGTCGCCTCCCAGCTTCCCAGGTACTCCCCTAGCCTCCCCACCAGCATGGCAGTATGAGGAGCAGCAAAGGCCTTGGTTCTGTGCACGCTCTGCTCAGCAATAACAAAAACATCTCTGTATTATCAACCCTGTGCCCTGCACAAATACAAAACACAGCCCACACCAACTACTGTGAATAAAACTCTGTCTCAGGCTAAACCAGCACAGTATTAAAACCAAAATACATTCTAAACTGTATTTACTTCTATAATTTATATGGCTAAACAGGCTTTAGTATCACAAGTATTCTAGAAGTCATTAGCAGTAAGAACCTGAGCAAGGATTTAAATTAAAAGGAATCTTCAAAAGCTATAACAAGCCTACTAACTCTGGATCAAGCCATGTACGACACTAAATCCTGAAGCAGTTTACCTCAACCTAATATTGTAATGCAGTAAGAGACTGAAAAGCTGGTATGTCAGGAAAAATACTACAAATGTGTCTGAAAGTACTTCTCACTACTCAGTGCACTTTCATTTTATACCAGCAGCTTTGGGCATGCCAAGATCAGTCATCCATGAATCTAGATTATACCACACACAAATAGTTTCACATTCTTTTGACAAAATAGGTCATCTAATAAAACACAAAAGTATATACAGCCACTGACAGTCAAAGTAGACATTTGGTGTTTGTACCTGACTTCTGTGCTCTACGGAGTTAGACTCCTTGCCAGACTTGAGCTCCAATGGCATTACCCTATACTGTACTCCAGACTGATGATGGATTTTCACCCTAGCTGTAACATCAATCTTTCCCTTCAACCCAAACCTGGGAGACCAGATGTTCTCTTCAATGTCCAAGATATCTACAATCTCTATCTTGGAGGATAGATCTTCTGGTTTTTCATCACTGGATCTATAAAGAAAATGAAGTCAGAACTTAACAATTTCCCTTAATTCTTAATATTAAAATATTAAAATGTGATACAATTAAATATGTAATGTTTTTGCACAAGTGTTCTTTAGCCACTACCTTCAGAAATCAAATGTATTAACCCTCACTCAAACTCTTACCATTAACTAAGGCAGCATCTTATCAGAAACTAACTGCAGTGTTGCTATTCACCTAAATTTCAAAGTTAAAAAAAGACTCTTAAACTGTTGTAAGTAGTTTTTGGTCTTTTCTGAATAACTACACTCTAAAACAAAAAGTTAATGATCTATACTTGAGAGCAGCACAGAGATTTTACTCAGCCCTGCCATCTCACTGAAACTTTAACACCCTGTGGCTATCACAGGTAACAGCAAGAACCCATAGACAGAGGAGCTTAGCAGCAGCTGAGCAAAATCATCATGTCACTGAAAAACTGTTATCTTAGTGAAGAATTCCATTTGATTGATAGTTTCACATTCTGATTTGTAGTCTTGCACAAATCTACAGTAACTCCTAGCTTAGTCAGCAGCTCAAATATGCTTGCCTTTCTAGTTACTAAAAATCTCTACTTTGTACCATACTGTTCCCAGGGATTTTACGACTAATGAGACTTTTGTGTCAGTTCATCCTCAGGCTTCATGTCTTGCCCAGTACTCACAATGGCAGCTTAACATGCAGCTCTCAAGATCAGCTAGAGTGGCAGTGAGGCCATGAATTAGCTCCAAATCACGGAAGAGATATGCATAAAAATTGTTCTAAAAATTAAAAGTGGCCAAAAGATACACAACACAGAATGGTTTAACTTTTAATTCTGGCTTCTTACAGTTTTAGTTGCATTTTATTTTTGTTCACTGGATTGTGCATGAAGTCTTCTGCCCATTTAAAAAACGATGGCAAATATTCTTCTACTTCCTGCATTATTTCTGCTTGTTTCAGATTTAAGTGATACCTAAAAAACAAAGCCATGCACATTATGGAGAAAGAAATATTGACTTGCTCCTGGTGCTAAAGAGATTTTGCCTAGAGTAGTGACAAGATTAATGGAAGTAACTGTCAAGTCTTAATATACATCTATAAATTGTAGGTAATGACAAATTCATTAAGGTCCAACTCAATTCATAAAACTACAACTGAACATCCATGACAAGAGAGATACTATACTAGAATAGAGATTTCTGATGTAACTTTTGAAGTGACAGGTGTAGCACCACACAAGCATCAGCATACCACGTCCTGAAACAAAACTAACAGTTCAGCTGCAGGAAAGGAGTACCAGACTCGCACATTTAAAAATGGTTATTCCTATGAGTTACACAGCAGTGACAGAAAGATGTTAAAAAGTCTTTTGCTTTTTGTCTGAATGTCATGATCTGCTACTTGCTCTTCACATACATTTTGACAGAACATTACATAGAAGCTAATTATGTGGCATTAGATAATTCAGTGCTAGCATTCACTGGAAATAATGTCATTAGTCTGCAGCAACAGAGAAACAACAAGTGGGTTGTGCACGAAAAGGTTCATACTAGTGCCAATGACCACAGCCAGCAGACTTAAGCAATTTACACTTCAATCCCAACAAACAGTAGCCTACATGTGCAAGAAGGAATTGCAGGTCAGCAGTTCCAGAGAGGCCCAGAGTGACACAAATGCCTGTAAGTGATCTTAGCAGCCACAATTCAAAATAGCCACCTTCATAACAGAACTGGAGTAATTAACCTTATTACCACTTTAACTTCCAGCTCGTCTATGGCTAACAGATATTGACACTGCCCAATATACAATTTATTAGTCTAGATATAATGATTATACTTTTGATACATTATTAGAATTAGATTTTAATTAAGCCTGCAGTGAAATGTTGAAACTTACAGCCATTCATCTTGCCACCTGCTGATGGAAAGATGAAAACTGTTTATTTGGCTAGCATTTCTATCAGCTTTGCTGAGAAAATAAGTTAAAGGTCTTCTAACTGAGCCTTTAATTAAACTGATAAAGATTATGAAAATATCAGACATGTCAATGCTTGGTCAGCCACAAGTTTCTAGTTCATCTCCTGAGGATCAGAATGAATTATGCTCATCACATCTAAGTCTGCTTTGGGAGATGAATGGAAAGCTAACATTGCAGGCACAAACATTCCAACCTGCTTGGCCTGAAAGAAAACAACTCCATACATAGTTACTCCAGATCTAGAGAAGTTGCTCAGCAAGGAAGGCAAATTAAATTACACTCTGAAAATTGAATTATCTTACTAAAAGATACCCAGTTTCCATTGAGCAATGTCATTTGGCAGAATACTCTCCTGATACTAGTACTACAGTTTTTAAAGCATTACTTAACCTGCTAGTTCAAAGTGCTCCTGCCCTGTCTTCCAAACACACAAGATACCTGTGAAGCTACTTACATTTCTTTGAGATACTTTTGTCCATGCACAATTTTAGTTGCTAGATCTTGTACTTTTTCTTGGCTCAAGTTGTTTGTTACCGATTGCTGGAAAATGTCATGAAGAATTGTACCGACAAGCATTTGGCGTGAACCAGACCCTGAGCCCTGCAACAGATGTTACAATACATGAAGATTTAGCCCCACTTCATGCCAACTTTTCTATAAAATTTCTGGGCTGCATTTGCTGCACATCGTGGACTGCACTTATTTAATTGCAAGATCATGACAGCTTTTACCTCACTAATTGCTGTCTAGTCACACCCGACTCTGAAAGCAGTCAGATGTAAATAGATCCCCCCTATTGCTTTATCTCTCATGTTTATCCCAGCCCTGATACTGTTAGGATACAATGCCTATGTAATTGACAGGTGAGACAAACCGAAAGTGGTGAAAAATGACCTCTGCTTGAGTCACCACCAAACAACTGGAAATCTGATCACTGTGGTTTTACAGGATCTCTTACACACTTGTCACTTGCAGGTTGCACTCAGGACTGGTGACAGCATTATTCCAGAGTCAGGACCCTGTGCGTTGTCCCAAACAATTATTTTATTCCCATTACTCCTCTAATGAAGGGCTGACACCATGTCAGTCTCCTGTACTTAGTTTCCTTGTTTCAGTCACAGACTACCAGCCAAGCTGTTTACCAGTCCTTTACAGTTCACTTGCACATTTGGATTTATATTCCTATCATATCTGGAAGTTCTCCTCATTTGAAATCGCAGTAGTTGCTCCTCTGCCACCCATATATCACCAAGGACACTACCACAAGAAGCTTTTTCTTTTTCCAAGTTCCAACAGCTGGATTCAATTACAGAGTGAGTCCACACCGATTCTTAACTGAATTTATGGATTTTTTGAGATGCTCTTTACTTGGCCAAGTGTGGCTATGTTTTCATATGGTTGACAAGAGGCACATCCCTCACAAAGGATTCATATCCACACAATATGTGGCAAGGGATTATCAAAAGACATTCTCAGAATTTTAAATAGGAAGACCATTTCTTTATCCCACTAGCTGTACTAAGAATACTGGACTATTTCAGCTGCAGTTTGCAAGAAACACGAGAAGTTAAACCAGATGCAGCTCCCATTATAAATTCCTCTATGTTGCAAACATTGTCAATAGCTAGTAACTACATTTGACACTCTGGAATCAACACGTACCCTAAAGCGCTCACTCAGCACTGCTCTCCTCATACAGTGAATGCTGCTGGATATCGTAGTGCCGGAGAGCAGCAGGTCTGGGTACAGCACCAGGTATCCAGACTGGTCATTTATGAGCCAGGTGCCGGAGCTACACTCCCCTTCCAAATGAATGATGTCTCCTGGAACAACTGGAACAGACTCCCTGCAATGTGATACATGGGAACAATCATTTGCAAGCTACGGACACAGTGTATTAGAAATGAGGCATTACTATAGCAGACCAACATACTTTGAAACAGGAGGTTACCGTGATTCTTTCAGAATTTGACCTAAATAAATCCTGAAAGTGAATAAAGGCATTTTTTACTGACAAAACTTTGATCATTTTGAGTACTAGGTCATGCACCAGGAAAGCCTGAAAGGAGGGAAATCTAGCTGACTTCAAGTCCAGATTGACATGTTGAGCCATTTTGGTATCATTACATTTTATATTGACATATTGCATCTGCATTCCATGAGATCAAATTTCTTACTTAACAATTTTACTTTTAGAAGCTCAGTAAAGTCTAAAAATATTTTTATAGACTTAGAAATTTCAGGGTTCAAGGCCTTTAATATTTTGTCCTTCAAGAAATGGAGTCCTACACTTGTCTCCCACCTTTCAGGCTTGGACATAAAATGCAGAGCAATGCCAAATAGCATGTGCATGTCCATGTGTTACACAATACTATCCAGTCTTCTCTTTTGTAACACATCATGCAATGCACAAACACCTAAATTAGGATCATATCTTTTCTTGAAAAAAACTTCTGCAGTAGAACTCAAACTGAGGTAATTTTAACAGGCTACATAAACCCCTCATGTTTTACAGATACGACTTTGTACATTTGTACATAGATAATTTAGAAGTACACTTCTAATTAACACAAGACTACACTTACACAAAATAGCCTGCTCGGCATTTAATACCTCACTGTTAGTACTAAGGCAAATTAAAGCTGTAAGGAAGCAATATCCTCTGAACACAAGCTACATGACATCAGTTCTCTCAAGATGGCTGTCCATTACATTAAAATACAGATAACATTAGATAAAGGCTGCTTCAGAATTTTGTATCACTTTTAAGGCAGTAAAACTCATCTCAAAGACAACACAAACAAAACAGACTTAATCAAGTATTTCAGACATCTACACTTCTGCAGGGATTACCAGCCGTTCCTAAGAATGCACAGCTCTGTATCCTCCAGGGAAGGAAATGCTGTAATTGTCAGGTGTTTCTCAGGGTCACCTCCAGTTCTCTGCTTTATGCTGACTTCCAGCACACGGTATCTGTTGTCCAGCCCTTGCTTAAGCATTGTGTCAGGGGACTCAGTCACTTTCTTCTGAAAACTGAAGTAATTAACAGCTCGTTACAAGATGCAACACTACTTGAAAACAGCCAACCTATACACCAAAACAAGAAAACCTTCAAAGTTAAACCCAATTTTAACCATCCTCAGTATTTATAGATATATATTTAGTGAAGTTTTTTCAGTCCTATACGGCTTAACCGTAGGAAACTTCTCTGGGAATGTTTCCACACTGCCTCTTTGGATGACAGGAGTGAAAAACAAGTATTTTGACATAAGAGACATAAGGAAGGAGGCAGAAATATTAAATAACTTGCTATTTGTTGAAGCCAGTGCTTCATTTTGGTGTCCATATATCCACGTTCGTTTATAAGTCAATTATAACTCTCTGCACATACTAATTCCCACAGTCCCCAAGTGTCTCAAACGCACAGCAACGACGTGTTCTCCTTAACCTGAAGCGATCAGAAAACTGGCAGCGACGGCCGAGTAACCGCGCGGCCAGCGGCAAAGCCTGAGGCGGAGCGGC